TGGTTAGTATACCCGCCTGTCACGCGGGTGACCCGGGTTCAATTCCCGGACGGGGAGTCTTTTTTGCCAATTTCTTTCATCCCTTGTCTCTTTTTTTTACATCCCAACTACATACACAAATATTCCTCCCAAAAACTACCATTTTACCATGATTTATCACCACTATATAGCCATTCCTACGATTTTTCTTGTTGGGAGCACGTAAGATCTGGATATTGCACTAACTTTAGGCTTGATAGCTCAATCGACAGCCGCGCCTAATGCGTTGATTTGGTTGTGTATTTTCGGACTCTGAGGGCAGCGCTTGGCCAGGTCCGAGATATGTTCGAGACACGTCGAAACAGCGTGGGGGTCCACGCGGATAGATGGCGGCCCAAATTGTTACACAACTTAAATTTGTGTTTGCTTATATATACGAGCATGTTTTGCGTTATCTTCATAATTACGCAAAGACTTCGCATACGTACGTAGAGACTAGCAATCTCCTTCTTCTTCATTCGCTTGCCGGTCCGTGGCTGCGCAGGCGGCGGCGCGGGGGCTCGTCTGGCTCTTCTGTCGTCGCCCTACGACGCTTGCGGCTGCCGTGAGGCCCGTGACGACACGGCCGGTTAAATCTTTCCAGGCGTCGCGGTCGGCGGCAAAGCTACGCAGTTCGTCAAAGTCCTCGGGAGTCGCCAGCGACTGAGGCGGCGTCAGCGACTGGAGGTCGCGGTGCAGGACGATCGGTGGCGTGATCTTGGTGCGTTGTGTTTGCTTGGAAATCAAAATCAGATCCTCAGATTCTGTCGACATCCAGCCTTGTACTAGAAACCGCGCGATAATGGTACACAAGTTGAACGTGTAAAAGCTGTACAAATAGACATGATGCTTAGTTGTCATCTTGGAAGAGAACCGCTACACCACGAAGAACCCATTTTTCTTGCCCGCAGTCGGTCGGCAGCGTCGCGAGGAGGACATAGGTCGGACCGCGGAAGCGTGTGAGATACACGGGGCACTCGTAAATTGTGGGATCGTGGCGCAAGTAGCCCACGGATGTGGGTTCCCAAAGCGGCTTGGTCTCGACAGCCTTGACATACACAACGGGCATCATCCACAGAAGCTCTTTTGGGTTGCTGTCCATGACGATGCCACCACACTCGGTCGCCGGCGACGTTCCGACCTTGTACTTGGTCGGAATTTCATCGACCGTACTCCAACGCGCGCCTTCGATGAAGAGGCCGTGAACAAAGACACCGTCGTCCGGGTAGTACGTCATGGCGTCGGCGTTGATGACCGTCGTCATGTGCGTCTCGACCGTCATCTTGTTGAGTGGCATCCTATATAGCAGTATTACAACGACTGTGAGCTCGATCAAACGTCGTACAGCTTGCGGCGCGACGTGACTTGAAGACACGCAGTCGTGTAGGCTGTGGGGTTGAAGAGCCCTGGGAGCCAAAGCGAGAAGGGCGTGATGAAGTCCGAAGCCCATTTCTGCAGCTGCGCATGGCGCTTGACCATGTCCACAAACCAACCGGAGAGCGACTTCTTGCTCGGCCACGCCTTCCGTTCCCACTTGCACTGGGAAAACGGGTTGCGACCAGGCACTTCGTTGAGCCCAATCGCTGTCGCGAGGTCTTCCATGGACTGGGACATGTTGAGCTGCCCGTTCAGACCTTTCTTGAGGTCGGCCAGCGACTTGCGAATCTCGTCCAAAAGCACGTTCATGCGGTCGCACTCTTGGAGCGCAACGACGACAAACGGACCTATTCACCGAGCGTCCGTACATACTCCAAGAAATGTGCATCGTTGTACCGTGGTCTTGGGTCAACCCGGGCGCCGCGACCTCTTGCAAGTCGAGCATCATGAAAAACTCGGGCGTTCGCGCCTCGAAATCGTCGATTGTCGCCTTGAGCATCGCCGTCTTGTCCGAGCCGCCACCGCCGCCGCTGCTGCCGCCGCCACCGATACTGACAATCGTGTAGCAGAGCGTCTCGCACGTCGTCGTGAGATACCTATGGTCGCCGCCACCATGAGCATAGATTACCCATCATCAACGGACCCGATCTCGGCGTTCGGATGCAAGCCAAAGAGCGGAGGTGACTCGGGTACCATGTTCTTTTCAATGTACGTCGCGTAATCCGAGAAGGAAAACTCGGCCGGGTTTGGCGACTTGAAGCCGGGTCCAAGCTCCATACCGTTGAGCAAACCCGGGTTGATGAGTACGGTGAGGTATGTGTTGTTGGTGCGGCGATCCCAGCTGTCAGTGATGTGCCCACCGTACATGATTTCGCCGAAGATGTATCGAATGTCGTCCCACGGTACTGTCGCGTTGTTGTCCAAGTAACTCTGGAGCACGTTGCCGCAAATCGTGAGGTCACCCGTGTTGAAGCTGTACGCACGGCTCCAGCCTTGCTGCCCAAAGCGCCGACGCCCAAGCACGATGGCATGGAACCAGCACAGCGAGAAGAGACATGCTTTGAACTCGGTGGGTTTCGTGCACGCATCGACCTTGTCTTCGCCGAACGTCGCCCACGCACGGCGAAGGTTCGACTGAATGTCGGAGGGTGCTTCGTTGGCCACTTTGATGCAGCTTTGCATGAGCGATTCCGGTACGTTGAGCTCAAGCGGTAGCAGAATCGGCGGCGGCTCGGCCGAAATGAAGCATCGGAAGAGCTCGTGCGGCCCTTCGCCGACGATTTCTTCAAGCTGGCGCTCGAGCATCGGCAGCCACGACTGCATGAGATGCACATTCTGGAGAATGATCCAGCCGCCCTTGGTTGCGAGTTTCTTGAGGCAGTCACCAGCATGCTGCTCCTGGCCTACAAGGCGCTGAGACATCGGGTCGGACGCTAGGCCTGCGTACCTTGGCCCATCGAAATGTTGATAAAGTTGTCGTTTTCGATGCTGACGCCCTTGGTGCGCCCAAGGTCCTCGACCCACGGCGTCGGGTCCACGCCGGGAAAGAGCACAAAGAAAATCGGGATCGCAGGGTTCGTCTCCTCAAACGTCTGAAGCATGTCGAACGGCGGCTGCGTCACATACTGTTCGCCTACGAAGCGTGTTAGGTATCAGTGTATCAAGTCACAATAGAGAAATACCGAGCGCGTCAAGAATGAAGCGCCGGAGGGCGTTCGTGACACGATCAGGCCGCAGGGCGCGGAGAAGAATGATCTTTTGAAATGGCGTGAGCTTGGTAAAGTCGCCCGGGAGCTTGCACTGCTCGGCGTCTTCGGCGGCAAACCACTTGCGCCATTCGTCCGGGTCGTTCTGCATGACATCGGCCACGGTGGCAAACACTTTTAGGGTCTCGAGCGCTTTGAGCTTGGCAAAACAGGACGGCGGCAGCCACTCGGCGAGAACGCCCATATTGCCCGGCTCGGCCACTGACTTTGCGAGGAGGAAGGCGTCGACCTCGGCGTCGACGAGGCCGCCGTCGCGCAGCAAGATCTTGAGACAGAGCATCGTCGCGACCGTGAGCTTGTCGCGCTCGAAGAGGCCGCGCCGAATGTAGTTGAAGACGCACATGGTGATGCTGGAAATCAAGCCTACGTGACCGATATGACGACCCACGCATTCAGAAGAGACGCACCTGTGCAGCGCGCGGCAATGTCTTCGTCCGAAAACTCGATCGTGGCTTCTTCGGCGGGCGGCGCATCGGGCGGGGGCGGGGCCTCGCCATCGACTGCCGCGTCGGCTGGAGGCTCGTCGGCCACGGGCGATGCCATCGGGAGGTTGTACACGCCTTGGAGAAAGACTTGCTGGAACGCAGCGAGCGAGTAAATGTAGTACGAGTGCACTTTGCTCAGGTCGATCATGAGGAAGAAGAGGAGCGACCCGCGCGCGGCGATCGACCGGTACTTTTCGCTCGTTACGTTGACGCTCTCTTGGGTCTTCTTGGCCGCTTCCATGTTGTTTTGCGTCATCTGCGCCTTGTACTTGGTGTCGGACAAGATTGCAATGAGCGGCTGGTTGTTGGTGATATCGTCGTCGGCTTCCGCGAGGTACTGCAGAATGATGTCTTCGAGCTTCTTGAGCTCGATCTTGCCTTGGTTTTGCTGCTGAATGAGCTTCTCGCGCTTGATCGCGAGATCCGAGCGCTCTTTCGAGACGACGAGGTTGAGCAGCTGGTCTTCGAGGCCCAGCGCCGTGACGGTAAAGTTGACCATGGTGCACTCGGCCTGGATCTCGGGCGGGTAGTGCGGGTTCCCGAGTTTCGTGTGGAGGTACAAGCGGAACTCGTCGCAGTACGGCACGGACGCATCCCCAACCGTGATCTCAATGCGGTTACCGCGCTTGGACGTCGAGCGCTGGATGACAGGCGCCAGGATCGCGTCGATCTTCTCGCCGAGGTTTTCGATCAGGAACGCCGTCTTGGTGCCGAGCGCCGTCTTGAGCTTCTCGATCCAAAACTTTTGACCAATGCGCACGATCTGGAGGTTGAACGGCGCCTCCTTCTCGCGGATCCACGCAATCGCTTGCAGCTGCGGGTCGATGATGAGCGGCCGGCGTCCTACAACGTCCTATGCAATTCTCCAAACGTTTTAAAGTAGAAACGTACCCATGGCGACCGTGTTGACGACAATCGCACCGTTTTCGGTCGAGACGCGATCGGCAGGAAGACGCTGCGTGTTCCACTCGGCAATCTCCGCGTCGTTGGTGAGAATGTACACGGGATTGCTCTCTTCACTCATGGCGATCGAGTTGCCATTCGCCGCCTTGCGCAGGTACGGCACCCAGTGCTTATTGATGAGCTCGTCTCGGAAGGGCTTGGTGAACGGACCAATGTACGAGATGAACGCAGACGCCAAGAGACAGTCGCCCACGAGCAAATCCTTCTCCTTTTGCAGCTGAAGGACGTTGATGCCCCTAATGATGCACGCGTGTCACCGACTTTCGTTGGACGGTTGTCGTCGTACCAGCGCACGTTTTCCGAACTGAGGTCCTTGGTGAGCGTGCCAGCCAGCTTCATCTTGCGGTTGCCTTGCTCGACCGAGTTGATGGCGTCTTCCTTTTCCTTTTCGGCTGCGGCAGCTTCTTCCAGCAGCTTGTTGAGCTTGGCGTTGAGATCTAAGCATCTCGTTCTAGGCGTGACCGTGGACGCAAAGCGCACCTGCTACGAGCGACGTGACTTCGCCGAGGCGCTTGTTGGCGGCTTCGAGCTCCAAGTTGGCCGCCGCCAGCGCCATTCTAAGATGACGCCGTGAGATGGTGGTGACTGTGATGATACCAGACGCACCGCTTGGGCTCGACCGTGACGAGGATGTCGTAGTACATGACGATGTTGACGACCCAACTGCAGAGACCGGCGGCGGCTTTGTTTTTCGTCGCAATGATGTCGGGCTTGAAGTACTCTTTTTCGAGGAACTCGCGCACTTCCTTCCAGTTTTGCGTCGGAATTTGGTTGGCGTCCACGAGGTCCTTGAACTTGAGGAGGTACTCGATGTACTCTGGGATGTTGCCGAGCACTTGCTTCTTGCACGCGTCCCACTTGAAGTCCTTGACTTTGCCTTGCTTGGTCACGACAACGTTGGGATGCACGCCGGCCAGCAGCACCATTGTCGCTCCGAAGACGTCGTCGACACCCACCGGCGGCTTGGACATGGTCTTACACTCGCCGAGATCCTTCTTGTTGAGCGAGTCGAGGGCTTCCATGGCTTGCTGCACCGCTGGCTCGGCCTTGGCCAAATCTATTGTACACAAAGTTTTATAACCGTTCGTGATTCGCTTCACGTACCTTCCATGGTCGAGCGCTGCTTCTCGGTGACTTCGGCTTGGATGATGGCGCATTTGGCAGCCTCTTCCTCGGCCTTCTTGGACTCGACTTCGACTTTGGCTTTTTCCTTGTTGACCGTCTCGGCGATGCCGGACGCGACGGCTTTCTTGTCTTCGGCTTGCTCGAGCTTGCCCTTGAGCTCGACTTCGAGGCGCGCGACCGTCTCGCCCGTTTCTTTGAGCTTTTGCAGTCCTTTCTCGAGACGCTCGATCGCACCGGCGTACTCCTTGACCTTCTTTTTCAAAATGTTCTTGTACAGCTGGAGGAGCTCGAGGTACGATTTGGGCGTGGTGTACACATACCTACAATTGTTTGACGGGGCGCATCGCATGTACAGCAGAAGTACCGTCGCTCGACTTGGAAAAAGCGCTCGGCGCATTGGTTCACCGAGACGAACGAAAATGGCATAAAGTTTTCAATGCCGGCGCGCGACTCGTCCGAGCCAAGGAGGTCGCTAATGTCCTTGAGCTTTTCCTTCCCGACACTCAAGAGCGCTTCTTTGGGCCATGGCTGGAACCAATCGATGACGGTGCAGTTGACAAGCGCCGGGAACTTGCGCGCGCGGCTGCGAAAGTCGTCGCCGACAGGTGAGAAGCAGAGGCAGAGATGGAGGCGCTTGCGGATCTCGCTTTGGAAAAACTTGATGATTTCCTTGCGCTCCTTCGTGCCGGCCATGACGCACACCATTTGGACGATGTTGTCCATGTCTTCGGTGGCAAACAAGTCGGGAATGTCGCCCGACGCGAGGAGATCGTTGAGGTAGATGAGAAACTTCTCGTTCGTGATCTGCGAGTCGGTGAGAAGGAAGACGACGCCGCCTTTCTCTTCGCTGCGACTGCACTGGTCAGTGATGACCATGTACATTTTGCGCAGATCTTCTTTAAACTCGTTCTCGCCATACTTGCTTGAAATCGAAATCTGCTTGACCGTGTACTCGCAAATGTGCGACGCTAACCGCGCCAAGGACCGCTTCCCCGAACCACCGACACCGACCAAGAGCGCGTGTCTACAGCACACAACGTGAGCCGGCTTCAACACCGCGATGCGTCGTACCCGGATTCGTTGCGCAAAATGCGCACAATGCGCGCGACGTGCTTGATCGCGTCGTCAAACAAGTCGAGGTACATGGCCGTGTTGTTCTCGTTGTTGTTGTAGTCGCGCAGTTGGATCTCGAGGTTCTTCTTGAGGTCGTCGAGGTTGGTGCCGTTCACTTGGTCGTACTCGGGGTCGCCGTCCTTTGTAAAATGGCAGAAAATCAGCGGCCACGAGTTCTCGGCCGCGTAGTAGCGCGACGTGTTGCATGTCGGGAAGCTCCGCTTGACTTGGAGCTGCACGAGTTGGTTGTACTTTTCAATGTCGGCTTTACACACGAGGCGGTCGCCATACACGCGCTCGCTCTCGTGGAGCCAGAGCAACACAAACTTCTCGCTCGTGTTGAACCGCTCCTTCTTGCTCGCAATGAGGCCCTGAAAGACATTCGAGAGATGCCGGACGTTGAACTCGTAGTGAAAGTTGGCCGCTGTCTTGCGGAAGGTCTGGACCACGCTCGTATGCAGCGTGAGCGCCGCCTTGATGAGCGCGTTCCAGAACGACGACGTGTTGAGCTCGCCGCTGAACGTCCCCAAGTGGCCGCCGAGGAACGTTTCGTAGATGGTCACGAGCGACGGCGCCTCGGGCATGCCCATCGCGAACGTCGTGAAGTGCCGCTGGAGACGCGGATCCACGAGGAACGACCCAGCCGTCGGGTTCATACCAGCCACGATTTGCGTGTTGAGAATGTTTTGCACTTGGAGCTTGGCGCGGTCAAACCTGCGACAGACCATCATGATACATACGCAATAGAAAAGGCTTGGAACATACCAATGACGGTATTCCATCTTTTGCCGCAAGAGCGAGATGGCCGACTGGGTGTTGTACGGGTCGACTTCGGGCAAATTGAGATCGTCCATAAAGTAAATGAGCCGAAATTTGCCCGGCGGGCCAAAGTTGGACCCCGTCTTCTTCTCGAGGTGGCTAAACATGGCAGCCTGGAGAATCGACGACGTCGTGTAAAAGTTGAAGTTGAGCGTCGTGAACCGAAACCCGTAGTTGGCATCTTCGCGCGAGAGCTTCTTGAGCACGCCGTTGACGTTTTGGGTCTTGCCCGTACCCGCGGGGCCGCACACCATGAGCGGAATGCTCTTGCAAATCAGATTCTCGAGCCAAAACGCGATCGACGACGTCTCGGTCGTCGGCACAGTGATCTGGTTGATCGGGTCCGGCGATTTGTACGTGGCCGTGTAAAAGTACGGCGACTTGCTCCACGCGTTAAACTTGGCGGTCTCGGGGTCGAGCCAAAAATCAAACACGGTGTTGCTCGCACTCGCCACGATCTTGACGTCCTTCCACGTGTTCTTCCACCAGTTGCTAAACTCGAGCGCATAGTCGGTGCCGTCGTCCGAGACGGTGAGGATTGACCCAAACGCCCAGACGCAGCAAAAGCAAAAGTTGTGCTGCATGACGCCATAGTCGGCCAGCACCGCTGGCGTCAAGAGACAGTCGAGCATGTTGAGGAGGTTGCCGACCAGCGTCACCTCTTCGACCGGAATGATGGGCACGAGGCGCTTTTTGAAAAACTTGAGCGTCGGTTCCATGTACGAGTCAAATAGGCCCTGGAACTGGCCGCGCATCTCGGGCGAGAAGAGGAGTCCTTGGTCCTTTGCTTTCTTTGTTGGGTCGGGCGTGCTGTGTCGGAGGAGCCACGAGTCGATGAGGCACCGCCATTGGTAGCCCTCGGTGGCGCTAATGTAGAGAATACCGGCGCGGGAGACGGTTGCGGGCGTCGCATACACCAAGTCGCGGATCTCAAAGATCATGCGCATGTGCGACTTGAGCGGGACGCGCTCATTGGAGGCGAGCGTGAGCATGCGGTTGTCGTCCATGACCGAGTTCATCGACTCGATCCAGTTGGCGTCAAGATCACCATCGAGCAAGATCCACTTGGGCGACGTGTCGTCCTCGCCGTTCTCTTTGGTGCGCGAACCGAGGTCCCGCATGATCTTACTCAGCAAGCCGTCCTTCCACTCGCGCGTCTTGAGCACAATGTAGCCGTAGAGCTCGTTGGTCGAGACCGACTTTGGATTGAGATCCTGGATCTCCATCGAGATGCCCATGATCTCGCGGGCTTTTCGAAGAGTCTTCCACGTCTCTGTCTTGCCACATGCTGGCGGCCCCATGACGAAGACGCAGTGTCGGATCGCAAGAAGCTCCGAGAGCTGGACGACCTTGAGCATAAATTCTTCGCGCGGACTAAGCAGACACCGCATTCGCGACCCCTCGAAAGGCAGAGTAGTTGTACCTGTTGTTGATGGCCTCGCACGCACCTTGGACCATCGACTCGAGCTCCGGGTCGCGCTTCCGGGGCGGGTCGTTCCGGACGTCAATGTTGGGGTCGTTGCGAGGAAACAAGTCGCCGAGCAACCCGAAAAAGATGACGTTGTCTTCGACGACGATCTTGGGAATGTTAAAGTCCCGAAGCGCGCGCATGAGCAGATCCGGCTCGGGGATGTCGGGCTCGGCGCGCTTGAACGACCCGGCGACACAGAGCACTGACTTGACCGCGCGGAGACCTATATACGCACTATTGCGTACGATTCAAATGCAAGAGGAATGTACCCCAATCGTAGTGGAGCTGCTTGGAGAGGAGCTGTCCGAGGAGCGAGTACAAGCCGTAAAACTTGGACGCGAGAATCTTGGCTTGCGTAAAGCCTTCGGCCATGAGCATGTTTTCGCAGATCAAGACCAAGTCGGGCACCATGACCGTCATGGGTCGGAAAAGCGCCTTGAGACCTTCGGGCAGCTCCGATCGGCCGAGGTACCCGGGGTTCATTGTGATGAAGGCGCCGACTGTCGGGTCGAGCATGACGGGTTCGTTCTCCAAGATGAAGCGCTCGTCGTCAGCCTTGCAGGCATCGCAGACGGCCTTGAATTGGACCGAGCACACACTGAGCACCTCGGGCACGAGTCGGTTGAACTCGTCAAAGCAGCCCCACGACCCGGACGAAGCCAATCCCTTGAAGATGTTGCCGAGACTCTTGTAGTCCATTTCCGGCGAGCAGTTGAAGACATAGCAGGCCTTCCCGAGCGCGTTGGCGAGATCTTTCGTGGTCTCGGTCTTGCCCGTTCCTGCTGGCCCCGCGGGCGCACATCCCATCTTGAGGTTGAGCGCTTGCGTCGCCGTGACGTAAATACGATCCGTGAGCGGCGTAATGACAAGCCTAATTCCACTCAACTTCGCGAAACAAAAGATGAAAAGACGCACCGCGGACCGTTCCCGAGGTACTCGTAGTCGTACGGAATCCCGGCGTCGCAAATGAGCACTTGGGCGCGCGCGTTGTTGGGGCCGCGAAAGTTTTGGTCCCGGTTGAGAAAGCTGCCTTGGCACGGCGAAAAATAGTGTTTGAGCTGCGACTGCCACATGAAGCTCGTCGCGTCGTCGACACCGGCGCGGATCATATTGGCAACGATATCGCGGCCGTGTGCGTCCATGGTGATCAAACACATGACGCGCTGGCGCTCGGCATTCGAGATCTTACTCTGCGTGAGCTTGATCAAATCCTCGAGTTGCCCTTCCTGCTTTGTGTTGTAGCGCGTGAGCGCTTCGCGGTCCCCGCCGCCCATGGCCCGGAATGCGGCCTCGACTTCCTTGACGTAGTGGATACCCGCTGAAAGCAAGATGATTTGGGCTGCGTCCAGAGGCTTCCCCGATGGGTCCTTGTAGTTGATCCACTCGACGCGCGGCTCGGTTGTGTAGAGCACGAGCGAGCGTTCAATGTGCTTGAAGAGCGTGTACTTCATGGCCTTCAAGAGCGCCTCGAGGTAGATCTCAGCCTCGCCGTCCAAGAGCACGGGCTCGGTAAAGTCGACGATTTCGTGCCCGACGCCCGAGACGAACGCGACGGCCGTCGGACGGCCCGTCGGCGCCGGCACCAAGTTCATCGTCTTGCATGCGAGATAGATCTTGGACGCGTGCGGCATGATCTTGGCGGGGTTGGACCCGTTGGACAAGATGTCGAGGAGATCCTACACACAGCATTTGAAACTCAAACTCAAAAACTGGCGACGTACGGCCTCCGACATAAAGTAAAAGCGCGGAAATTGGCGCCGACGGCCGTCGAGGAACTCCTTGAGCCGGTGCTTGCAGAGCTCAAGCTTCTCGACGATGGACTCAAGAAGCTTGAAGAGACCGGGGACGGTACACGCCACTTTGACGTTCTTGGTCACCCAAGCTTCGCGCAAAATGCGGCGGACCTCGACGTCGATGTCCTCAAAGTCGGCTGTGAGCGCCGGCAGCTGGTTCTTGACTTCTTCGCTCTGGATAAAGAGCGGCTCGAGGTAGCTCCACGAGCGCTGGATGTCGCCGAGGATGACGACGACTTCATTCACGGATGCGAGGCCTTCGTGCATATCGGTGACGCGCGCCTCAAAGTCACCTTGATACGGCGACGACGTCATGGCTTGGCAGTCAATCTGGTTGGTTTCGAGCAGCTCAAAGTTGTCCTCCGAGATCTTGAGCAGGGGCACTTGCTTCTCGACCGGGTCCGTCGGGTTGTACGGCGACATCTCCCACTCCACGAGCGCCCACGTCTCTTCGAGCTCGACAAGCTTGAGCTCGAGCTCCTGCTCCTTCTCGGCTTCGTACGCAATCTCGCCAATCTCACTCGCATACTCGTGCAGGCGCTTGCTCAAGAGAAACCCCAGCTTTTGGTCCGGGTCCGCGTCTGGTGGCGTGAACTCGCCCGTGTGGCCCATGATGCGCTTCCAGTGCCGCGGTCGCATGTAGCTCGACGAGAGACACCGGAGGAGCGGGTGCGTCTTGTCAAAGCCCTGGGTTTCTTTCAAAATGACCTTGTACGCGTCGCACCACTGAATGTCGCGCGGGATCTTCTTGAGTTCCTTCAAGACGGCTTGCGTCTCCATCGCGAGCACGTTGCAGTCGACGTCCTTCCACAGGATCTCGTGGGTGGACGCAAAGAACGCTTTCGTGCGCTTGACGATGGCCCACACGGCCTTGGCGCCGTCAAAGTCGGATCGGATCGCGGCCATCGTAGCGTGGGTTTCGTTCATGCGCTGGGGGAACCCAAAGACGTGGCTCAAGTCGCTCTTCTCCGCACAGCGCTTCTTTTCATTCTCCCACTCGACGAGCTGCATCTCAATCTTCTCGAGCGCCTTGGCAGGCTCGAGTTTCGAGTCCCAAAAGTCGAGCGTCTTGATGCTTGCCTGCCACTTTTTGACTTTGGTCTCGTACTCGGCGATCGTCGCCTCGGTCTTTTCCGAGAAGATCCGCGTCGGCTCGGTGACGCGCGTCTCCGTCTCGGGCACTTGCACTTGAATGTCATGGTAGAGCTTGATGAGGTTGTCGACGTCCGCGGCTTCCTTATCGACGTGCCCGCCAATCTTCTTCATGTACTGGAAGAGGTGCGCCGTCTGCTCCTGCAGCAGCTGGTTGGCCGCTCGGTCCGTCTCGAGCTTCCGCACGAGGTCCTTGATCTTCTTGAGCGCCTCGAGGCCGTCCGCGTCGTTGCTCGGAATGTCCGCCTACCCACGAGTGTCTCGTCACTGTTTATATGTATGTCGTACCTTGAGCTCTTTGAGCACGCGCTTGTAGTCGCCCGCGCGCTTGGTCGTGTCGGTGTAGAGTTTGCGGATGAGGTCGGACGAGTTGAAGTCGTCTTCTTTCGCGACACTTGGGACGCAGCGGATCGCCATCTCGTCGGACGGAGGCTGGAAGCAGCAGGCGAACGGCGACCCGCGAATCGGACCCGCAATGCCGTCAAACGTCCCTTCAAACGTGACGTGGACCATGTACTTGCCGGCGGCGGGCGGGATGAACGTGACAATGTAGCGCCCGTCGCCTTTGTCCACGATCGTCGTAATCTCGATTGTGCTCTCGACATCGTCCGTGCCGTCGGCGGTGCGCGGCACCAGCGTGACGTGGTAGACGTCACCGCCGCAGTCGCGTGCGATTCCATCCTTGTCGATCGACTGGAGCACGAACGACGTCGGCTCGTTCGCCATGATCAAGCTGCTCAGCGAGAACATGACGCATGGGCCGTACGCCATGCTCTTGGGCGCGCTTGTGACACTGTGAAACTAGATGCATAGGGTCAATCCGCTGCAATAGATCAATATGGCTCAATGTGTACCTTGAACGACGTGGCGATGTTGGTGTACGAGTCGCCGGGCAACGAGACGCGGACTTCGGTCGCGAGCGGCCCGTATTTATCAAAGTTGGGTGTCGTCACTTGCACGGCGGTCGGTCCGAGCACTTGGCCCTGGACGTCCAAGAATCCTTTGGCCACCGCAAACCGAACCGTGGCGCTCGAGCCGGTAAAGTTGTAGCCCAACACTTTAACGCGCGTGTTGCCCGTGATGGGGCCGGACGCCGGTGCAATCGACGCGACCGAGTACGGCGGCCCGACGATCTCGTTGACTTGGAGAACGTGGACGTCGCCAAACCAGCGGTTGGCCCAACCGCCAAAGAGCACCAACTTGTACGCCACCGGGTCGTAGATCATGGCCGTATCGGCGCGCGGCAGCGGCGCGTCGCCCTTGAGCGCCGGCTCGCGCCACTGCATCGTGCCCGTGTCGAGAACACTGACGTTGTTGAGGTACGCGCCTTGCGAGTTGCCCGACTCGGCGAGGTCGCCGGACGTGCCGCCAAACATAAAGATCTTCCAGTGGGGCACGGCCTGGACGCCAACACACGCGTGATTCCAAGTCGGCACGTGGAGCTTCGAGTCCGGCGCGCTCCACGTGTTGGTTTGCAGATCGAGCACGAAGAGGTCGTTGAATTGCTTGACCGAGTTCCAGCCGCCAATGACAAAGAGGTTGTTGTCGATGAGACATGTCTGGTGGGACGAGCGCGGCTCGGGCTTCTCGCCTTCGGTGAGGATCTCTTCCCACTTCATGCTGCGGAGGTCGAGCGCGTGGAGGTCGTTAAAGTCCGTGCGCCCGTACCCGTTGCCGCCGTAGCCGCCAAAGATGTACATCTTGTGCTCGACGAGCGTCGCGCTGTGCGACCCGCGGCACTGCGGCAGGCCCTCCCAAAAGTTCTGCGCGTGCTGTTGTTCCCAGAGCTTGGTCTCGCAGTCAAAGATCCAGCAGTCGTTCATGCGCTTCTCGGCCGCAAACCCGCCAAACACCACGAGCCGGCGCTCGTTGTACATGATGGCCGTGTGTCGCCAGCGCGGCGGTGGCGCGTCCTCGGGTGCGCTCGACGCGGCCTGGACGCGCGACCACGCAAAGCCGTTTGCCATGTCGAGGCGAAAGAGGTCGTTGCTCGGACCCGGCGGGATCTTGTGGTCGCAGCCTACACTCGTGCGTGAGCTTGGTACGCTTCATGGAGGAGGTACCGCCGAAAAGGTACAGCGCCGACTCGGATCCGCGCAGCGTGAGCGAGTGGCCCGACCGCTTGTTCGGGACTTCGCCCGTGCACTTGGGGTTGGCCCACACCATCTCGGGCTCGGCGCCATAGCCGATGGGCTACGAGGACGTCAGGCAGGCGTCCTGGGCGCAGCCACGTACCATGGTCGACTCCGGTTGTGTGCACGACCGCTCGCGTTGGAAACTCCGAAGATCTGGCCAAGGGACACGAAATTGGACCAATCAGCGACGAACCTCTCACTTTGTATATCCCTTCCGTCGCTGGTGCCGGGAGGTATCTTATTGACTGTGGGAGGTTTGCACGCTCGGTTTAGTGTTGAGTTTCGCGAGCGCCAGAGATCCCTCGATGAGTACCTCGCGATAGAGACAATCTGCGAGTCTGTCGACATATACCCCGGCACCGACATCGACAGAAGTATCCCAGGTGCAGCCCTTGGGCCCGCACCTGTCAACCACACTGTTTCTGCTTTCGGCTACAAGACACCACCGATTCAAACACCAGTATTCTTTGAACGAGTGTTTGAAAATGAACGCAAGCTGGAGAGAACGACGACCGACCAACTTGGCTGCTTGGTACTCGCTCCCTCGTGCGTGGTCCCATGCTGCTTCGTTTGATGCAACTTCTCGTCGGCACCTTTTGAGCATCGACTGGCAATTCCAACAAAATTGTCACGCTAGTGACCTTCGAAAATGATTGTTTTTCCAGCTAATTATAGGCCGTGGGCGTTGGCAGACGTCGAGCCACTCGCAGAAATAATGCTCGACGAGCACCAGCACACTCCCGCCCGACGAACGTCGAGTGCCCGCGACATGGCCGCTATGACTCTGCGACCCGAGATCCCCCGCGCCGCAAGTGCCGCTGTCCTCGTGGCACCAAACGTATGACAGCTTGTACGATTACCTGGCATCAGTGACCTTGCTGCAGATCCACAATGAAGGTCCCACAGACCGACTGCCCACGGTCGAGTCCAGCTACGTCGTGCATGACACCGTCCCGGTGATCCCACTGCCCACGATTCCGCTCTTGTCTCCGCGGACCTATGGGACAATGGCGTATTGAGTTGTTGAACGATTTGATTCTGGCTCAAGGGTATGTCTAGATTACCAGTGTCGGGGCGCAGTGCACTGGTGCTATCATCGTGCGACTCGAAAGTGGAGTTAGCACCCGTCAAGCTAATGCGAACGCCGCGGTCCGTGCGCAATGAAGTGACTGACGGCGTCATCTTGCCGCTGACCACCGAGCAATCGCCCGCGCTGACCGTCGAGTCCAGGTACACATGCTCTTGTGGCAAAAGATGGCTCGCTTATTCAGCGCTTGTAGCACCCTGCTGTGTGAATCGGCTGCAAGTGGCGACCCAGTGCTGTCACCACGAGGCTCGAGAACAACGCCGCGCGAATCGACAACGACACCGCACACCGTGAGTAGCTCGCCGCGCAGTCGTAAGATATCGCACCACACGCCTCGCAAGACGCCGCGATTCAGCGACCCCAACTACTACATGTCCATCCACGAGCGACTCGCCAGCACCCAGTCGCATGATGGCGACCTTGTCTCGGCGCTGGCGACGCCCCGTCCGCGTTATGCCCCACCGATGCTCACGCGCTCCAGCACGATGCCCCGTCTCATGGACAAGGACAAGGCGATGCACAAGCTCGGCGTCAACGAAGAGCTTTTGCGCCTTGAAAAGGGCATGAAGAAGCTGGGTATTTGCGACCACGATATCCAAGCCAGCCTCGAAAGTACGAGGAGCAAAGCACTTGCCGATCGGTGATTTTTGTGTGCATAGTTCGACGGCACTGTGGTGTCAGCTTTACGTCGATGCAATCCAAGACCGAGACGCTCTTGGGCTTTTCAGAGGAGCAACTTCGGCGCATCAAGGCCGTGAAACAGCTCGGCACGACCGAAGCCGAGATCCTCGACAACTATTGCCAAAAGCTGTCGACGCTAGGCGTGTCGTTCGCGACGCCGCCTCAGTAGCGGTCCTCACCTCGACTCTACTTGGCGCTTTATACAATTATATTGTCCACCAGATCATTGATACTCGCTTGCTCGTTGACGACGATCATGTTGGTGCATCAAGTACCAAGTTGCACGAGATAGAGTCGAGGAGGCCCACCGCGCTGACGGAAGACTTCGCGAGTCGCCTTGGAGAGAATGGTAGGCGATGTGTGTGGCGGTCCGTCGACAGCTCGACCGAGGACAGGCTTGGAAAACACGCCTTCAGATCAACTAGATCCGGTTATACGAGCATATCGGAATGCCACGTACGCTTTATCCGGACAATAACCTTCGAAAACGATCTGGTTATGGTGCGAATTCTTTCAAGCGTGCACGCTATGTTGTGTCCGTCGCATCAATACCAGAGGACCCTCTATGCCCACCTCTTTCGCAGCCTGGCAATGGGCTTGTACAACATAACGGTTTCTGTGCGGCGCTATACATATTTGGCTTGTCTGATCCACTCGACAAGAACCTATTCACCGTGCTCCACTTTAGTTGCGCACCAAGACTGGTGAGCGCATCGAGATCTTGTGCGCTATGACGAACAAAGGAGCGTTATAGGTACAGGAGGACGTCGTTGCTCAACTGCGGAAGTCGACAGTAGTTCGTCGAACCGACGCAATCGCCATCCAGAAGCATACTAGGCGACTGCGCCCGCCAACCGCCAATGATGTGCCCTTTGCGCGCGAGACCATACAGCAAAATGACAGTGGAATTAGTAGTGGCGACGCATCCGTGTCTTGGCGACGACAAGACCTGCAACAGTAAGGATGAGCGTTCCGAGGGCAACGCCTGCCGCCACAATGATCCACGTGTCAAACGAGAGGCCGGCGAAGTCCAAGTCGCCGCCGCCGTCGACCGTCACGTTGGCCGCCGATCCCGCCGACGCGCCGAGGACACGGATGGGAAACACGTTGAGACCGCAGTTGAGTCGATCGTCGGCCTTGATGTGCACAAAGCCCTGGAGGCCCCACTGCGTCGAGTACGAGTTTTTCAATATCCAATAGTCGCCGCTCGGACCCGAGTCATACCCCACGAGGAGGAGCGCGTGGTCGATCATGCTCGGCTGCGTGATATCCGGGCAAATGTGCAAGCCGTTCTTGTAGTCCTTGAAGCCGCCGTCTCGGGCGTTGATTGCGACTGCAAGCGGGCCCGTCTGGAGGGCGCGTCGGAGCAGTACCGCCGGGTCCTTTGTGTCGGTGCAGCTCTTCTCGTTGAGAGCCGGCTCCCATCCCGAAATGTGCGCGGCCGTTGCATTGTCTGGACGCAAGGACCCGCACGTGTTGTAGCCGGCAGCTGGCGTCTCACGCCGCCCATTGGTGCTACTGGGGGTGACGGGGCCGACGGGACCGCCCCCGGAGGCAGCGGCGTTGTCCTCGGCGTACGGCCAATCAAGGCGCGTGGCAAGGTTTTTGATCCGCGTCGCCGCTTCCGAGAGAGCAATGTGCGTCATTCCGCCGTCGCAGCCGTTGTTCTGCGAGCTCCACGGCATACGCGGCTGGAGCCACTTGGGCACGTTCCCCGAATTCGCAAAGCAGTAGTTGTACGTGTGCACTTCGGCGCGCTTGCTGCAGCTCAAGAGTTGCTGCGACGAGAGGGCGACCGGCGCATTCCCCGTGGTATACGCGACAGCAGTCTCGATCAGATCTGATGCTGCAAACGCCCAGCACGACCCACAGGACTTTTGGCTCTTGACTTCTGCACAGACGCTGCGCTTCTTGGGGTTGTTGGTAGAGCACCAATTGAGCGACGTTGGCAGCGTTGGCGATGTCGACTGGAGCTGACGAACCGACGGCGCCTTGGACAGCATGAGATTCGTCCGCGCGACAAGAAATGGGTCGGTCTTGGCATCCGAGTCCGTCAAGTGGCGCGGGTTGAGCCCGAGCTTCATGGTGAGCTGGTGGTTGAGCGCATTGGCGTGCCAATAGACCTCTACCATAACGTTAACTTGATCTGCAGAGCGGCACTATGGACGATCAATACCTTCCATGTAGGCCATGTGGGCGCGGAGGTTGCGCTTGGCCGCATCGTACGCGGCGTCGTCACCGCGGTGGTGCATCGCGAGCATCTCGTGCAGTATGCGCTCGCTGGACACAAGGCGGCGGCCATTCCCGACCCAGCGGCAGTCGGCGTCGCACGCGACCAGCGTCCCGAACGAGTAGTTGTCGAGCATCGAGGATATTCAACTATGCCGCATGTCGCGCTAACGTGCATGAGGGCTCCAACCCAATCGAAAGACAGAGGTTTTCTCCAGACCAAGAGTTCCCTAATTTCTATAATCTGATACATAAATGATTGACAGGGATTCATGCTGAGAGGTGTAACGCTGTTACAGCACCAGCACGGCGGCTGGATCTCGCACGGATCGAGGTCGCTCGGCGGCTATCGCCGCGAGCACTGGCAGTGCGTACGGCTGCTTCCTCGTCCAAACTATCTGCAGCGTCGTTGTGCAAAGCCGCAAGCCGCCCGTCGCCGCCGTTTTGGGCGAGGACCTGGCAGACGGGACCAAGTTGCCATCGTGACAAAAGCTACCGCCGGCGTCGACAGGTGGACATGGGTTTGAAGCAGCGGCGGACCGACGGACTTCGGTAGAGGGCCATGCAACGTTGTGGATTGTTCAAAGTCTCTCGACTTGCCACGACACACACTCGTTGTGTAATCTGTCTTCTACTCGTCTGCAACCTAGTGGGTGGCAAAAGCAAACTCGAAAAACCAGATACAAAGGTGCTTCGCTTTTCTTGGACGATCTACACTAGTACACTACACTACGTGTGCATGTTTTGCATGCGCTTGCGTGAGACGATGACGCCAGCGATCGTCAGCGCCAGCGTAATCGCCGAGACAACGCACGCGATCGCGATCCACGTACCCATGGACGCGCCGCCAAAGCTCAGCGAGCCGCCACCGTCGACCGTGATGTTGGCCGCGGGGCCCGCCGACGCACCGATCGCGCGAATTGGAAACACGTTGAGCCCGCAGTTGAGCATGTTGTCCGTCTTGACGTGCACAAAGCCCTGGAGGCCCCATGAGACGCCGTACGAATTCTTGAGAATCCAATAGTCGCCGTCTGCGCCGGTGTCGTAGCCGACCAGCAGCAGCGCGTGGTCGATCATGTCCGAGGACGTGATCGCCGGGCACGTGTACACACCGCCAGTGAACGACTTGAATGCACCCTTCGCACTCAGAGCGACCGCCAACGGGCCATGCGCGAGCGCGCTCTTGAGCAGCGTCGTCGGGTCCTTGGTCGTCGCGCAGGACGTCGCGTTGAGTGCGGGTTCCCAGCCCGTGATGTGCGCGGCCGTAAAGTTAGCCGGGCGATTTCCCGTGCACGTGTTGTACTGTGAGACGGCATTCGAGGTGCCGTTGGTCGCAAGGAACCGCTGGTCGTTGGTGAGCGCACGGCGCTTCCCAGCGGCCGGCCCGACGGGCGCGTTCGGGTTGTTGCTCGATGTCGTGTCATCAACGTACGGCCAGTCGATGCGCGACGCGAGGTTGAGGATCTTGTTGGCAGCGTCGTCCAGAGCAATGTGCGTCATGCCGCCGTTGCAGCCTTGGTTCTGCGAGTCCCACTTCATTTCTGTCTGCAACCACGTCGGGACTGCGCCCGAGTTGGCAAAGCAGTACTGATACGTGCGAATCTCCTTCGACACGCTGCACGAGAGCAGCTGCTGCGACGAGAGCGACACGGGCTGGCTACCTGTCGCGAGCGACACTGCGGTTTCGATCACATCCGTGGCCGCAAACGCCCAGCACGAGCCACAGAGCTGTTGGCTCTTGACGTCCGCACACACGCTGCGGCCCTTTGGGTTGTTGGTCGTGCACCAATTAAGCGTCGTGAGCGACGACGACGGCGTCGTATCCAGGCGGCGATACGTCAAGTCGCGCTTCATCGCCATCATGTTGGACAGGACGGCGTCCATGGGGTGGCCCATACCCGCTGTATCCTCGAGCAAGTGGCGCGGGTTGAGACCAAGCGTCATCGTGAGTCGGTGGTTGAGCGTGTTGGCGTGCGTATAGACATCTACTCGCGCCCATGAGGATTCATTATCGCATCGGCAGGTCCAAGTCGTACCTTGGATGTAGTCCATGTGGGCCTGCAGGTTGCGCTTCGCCTCTGTGTAGTCGTTGCCGCGATGGAAGCGCAGCATGGCCTCCGAGAGCATGCGCGCGCCCGAGACTGGCACGCCGTCTTTGCCCATCCAGAGACAGCCCTGGTCGTCCGCGCAGTCGACGAGCGTCCCAAACTTCATCTTGTCGCCAAACCGAAAATGGCTCTCGCCACGAGGGTGACACACCCAGGCTTCTACGTGCCGGGACATTTTAATACCAAAGGTTTTATTGTGCTTACCAATGTCGAGTACAACGTCATGAAAACAATAAAATGCCGGCAAGCTATTATTATACGGCATAGATCCGGATACGCGATGGACAGCTCTACAGTAACTGCACGCGACCACATCGCGCGGCAAACTTCCACCCACATGCAGGAGCCCTACTCGCACGAGCGCAGCGAACATGCTAGTGCAGATCGACGAAAGACGGATGCTCGTGCAGGTGGGCCGTGCAGCGATCGCCAAGAGTTGTACGATGCTGTGGTTTCAGGACAGCGAACTTTGATGGCAAGTGGTGTGTTTTTATCGCATATTTTGCTATTTGTTTTGGGATCTGAAGGCGTTGGACACACTGTTGTAGAGCAGACTCCGACGCTGCTCCATGTTGAGACTCCTTTTATTGTCATTGATGGCAGCAGCAAGCGTGAGAGAACGGAACCCAGCCCGTATACGATGTATGGTCATGAAGCCCTATTTCAATCGAGTAGGAAGCTGGTATCCATCTCGTATCGACCACGAGACCAAACAAGGGGGCTCGTATACACACCGTCATGTGCATATAAGGGTGTAGGTGTACAACGCGAACGGTTGCTATCACACTGGTCTTTATTTGGCGCCGAAATGCAATGTTGCGTGGGTTTAGACTCGGACTCGGCGACCAAAGGATCGCGATATCAGCACCTGGTTTATTGGCCATGCAGCCCGACGACGTGGACGGCGACGACGACGGGAGCTCGCTGCCGCTGACCAACGCGCGGAGAGAGCACCGCGCAGCGCATCGACTGCGGCGGTATGCGCGGCTGGTGCTCAACTCGGTGCGGTACCGGCGGCGCTGCCAGCGCATTGTCGCATGCGTTGTACTTGTGCTCGTCCTCTGGCTCGTCACGGCGGTGCGCTACCACATCCACGTTCAGAACGACGTGCGGCACACGATCGTGCTACTGGCCAACTACCGCGACTCGGCGCGCTGCGCGGAAACCTTGCGATCGCTCTTTACGCAGGCCGCGCGGCCCGACTTGGTCGCGATCAGCCTCGTCGACCAAGTGTACCCGAACGAGGCCTCTTGCTTCAATACGTACTGCAAACTAGTGGGCAATGCCATCTGCCAGCAAGCGCCGCTGCGCCACCAAGTCTCGATGGACGCAGCCCAAGCCACGGGCCCCACCGGCGCGCGGTACGTCGCCGAGGCCGCGATCGACGCCCGCGTCGACGCGTTTGCACTGGGCATTGACTCACACCTTGTATTTGTCCATCACTGGGACGTCCTCCTCAAGGCCGAGTGGGACGCGGTGCAGAATCCGTTTGCAATTCTCACAACGTACCCCAAGTCGACCGACCACGCGACGCGCTTCATGGGCCGGCTCTTGCATGCCATTGGCGTCTACTCCATGTCTGTCATGTGCTACGCGCGCATCGAGACGGACGACGGAGATGCGATGGTGCAGTACAGTGCACCGCACCAAGACTGGTCGCTATTGTCGCCGTCGTCGCCGCGGCTCATTGCCCAGTTTGCGGGCGGCTTCAACTTTGGCCTCGCCGCCCACGCGGTTTGGGTCCGGAACGACCCGTTCACGCCGTACCTCTTTCACGGCGAAGAGTACTCGATGGCCGCGCGCCTCTTTACGCACGGGCAAGGGTCCTTTCTATCTGGACAAGGCTTGATAGATTGAAACTAGGTACGATATGTACGCGCCACGCGTCGACATTGTGTACCATTGGTACGAGCACCGGCATGTGGTCTGGGAGCGCGATTGGGACACGCGCTACTTTGTGCAGCAAGCGTCCAAGCGCCGCGTGCGCGCGATGCTCGGACTGCCGATTACGACTTTGGAAGACGTCAACCGCACCGAGTTGAGCCGCTTTGGCTTGGGCCAAGAGCGCACGATGGACCAGTTTATATCCTTCTCCGGCATCGATCCCCTCGCCGAATACGTCAAGGGTGAGTCGCGCCAGTTTGATAATTGCAAGCTTCTCACGCGCGTGCCAACGCTCTCTGAGTCAACCAAACGTCGACCCTAACCCCAAAACTCTTAAAAACAAAAAGTGTGCAATTGGGTCTAGGGACGAAGGACCACGCATTATATTGTGTTAGAGGACGGAATTACCGTCCTTCAATACCTCGCTCACCGGCGGTTGGTTGGTTTCGGGTGGGGGTGGGGGCGGCACTGCACGAACTTTTGCTGGCAGATCCCCACATGACGCCTCGGGACAACTCGTCGTCGCTGACTCCTTTCGTTTCTCCAGTAGCGACTGCAACTGGGCTAGTACGAGTTCAATATCGAGCGGCAGAGTTCGCAGCAGCGAATGGTGGGAGCTCAAGTGTGGCAATGGATCGCGATGGGAGCCCATGCGTCGCTGCGTTGCCTCGTCCAGAGCTCCGAGGGGATGGCGGTGGTCATGTTGCTCTTTTGTACCGTCGACAAGCAGCGTTCTTGTCGGCAGCTGTGTGTCGTGTATACGCAGCGCCGGTGAGGTTGGACCAGGGCTCTTGTCTACCATTCGAAATGATGCGTCCGAGTTGACCAAATCCAAGAGGTTGGGGACGGCCGAGACGTGGTGGAGACTCGTGCGGCGCATTTCCCGCTGGGCTTTCAGCACCGTGAGCGGGTTGTGCAAGGTCAGATCCATGTCGACGCTGCCGCGGTGGCCGTGCACGGGCGGCAGCAGCATCGTCGTCGACCCGGCGATCGTGCTCCGGCGGTCGCGGTGGCACTCTTGGAGCACCGTGTCAGTCGCCACGAGTTCGAGCACCGAGAGTTTGCTCGCTTTTCGACTACTTAGCCGATTAGCGTTGAATTCTTTGAGCTCGCGCACTTCCCGCGCGGCAATCGCTTGCCGGTACGCGCAAAAGTTGAAGGCCGGGCGCCCCATAGCGCTCGTGTCAGCGTCGTCGTCGTCATACTCGGACGTTGCGCTGTTCCGGTGCGAGACGCTTCGACAGCTGCCGATGCGACTGGACACGATCGCGTCAATGCTGTTGTCAGTAGGAGAAAAGTCGTCGGTGCCGCTGACAACGTCTTCGGCGAGTGGCCGCAAGCTTGACGGCTGCCGGCGCAACGGTCCAGACATCGACTTGGTACTCTCACTCTCGAGCAGGAGCCGGCAGTGCCGCCGACGCAGCGCTTGGTAAAACGCATCGCAGGCTACAACCAGCGTTCCGACGTGCTTTCGAAAATGCGACCACTGTGTGTCTCGGAGGACAATGATGCGCGAGCGCTCCCATGCCTTGGGGATCTGCTTCTCGACCGGATTCAGAATGGTCTGGTTTGCGTCCAAGCTCTGGTAGCCACACACGACCTCTTGGAGCTGCTGCGCGCGTTGAGCAAGCTCGAAAAAAGACAAAAATTCGCGCGGGCCGCAGTACCTGCACAACATGCTCTTGGGGTTTCCACGCATGAAGGTCGCTACGTACCGGGAGGCTGGCACAATATCAAACGACGGACCGTGGCCACCGAGAAGCTCGTTCAGAATCGGCTCCAGCGACGCGTTGTGCGCAATCATGGCGAGCACGCACGTGACCTATCGTCAAGTTCCATGCGTCTTCGATGCGTGTACCAAAGAGAGTACCAGTGCTGTCGAGTGAACAAAGTCGGCGCTCTCGCGAATGTTGCTGTTGTGGCTGATGGTCTTGTGCGTACGCGGGTCGAGGATTTCGGCGATGCACGGCTTCTTGCTGCCGACGCCACCGTGGCGCGCAGCTTGCAAAGCCTCTTCCGTGCGCAAGAGGAGGACGGTCGCGAGCACGTGCGAGTCGCAGGCCAAGACATCGTCTTCGCGGGCCATGTCCGTGACCACCATAAAGTAGTCGTACTGCGCCAAGACAATGCTTCGGAGGTGCCGGCGAATCGCGGGATTCCCCGTCCAGTGAACAAGCGAAATGTTGTGCAAACGCGCCGTGTCCAAGCCGGCTTCCAAGAGCGTCTCTGTTCTCGTCCTGGTGTCGACTTCGTTAAAAAGGTGCACCTCCGAGCCAAATGGACAAAGTTCGTCCAGTTTCACAAGCATATCGCGAAGGTCCCGGCGCCACCCGCAAATGAGAATGGTTTGCTTGACGACAACGGTCGAAGTGCGTCGGTCCCGCGTGTGGGGTCGAAGCTCGGGTACGACGACCGGGCTCACCTCGACCTTGAAACCTCTCCTGGTGTGGGCCAGCACAATCAAGCTTTCGCCTGGCGATACCTACTCAACTATGCCATCGCTGAGCCATACAATTTCTGTTGCGCACCGGGCGGAGCAGGGGTGGGTTCAGTAGCACAGCGCCCGACGCCTCTTGCAGACCAATCACGATGCCGTCGCACAGGTGTTTCTGAAGGTGTCCGAACGCCACGCCACACGCGGCCGCCGGCGCGGGCTCGCAAAACAGCGACGTGCCGCGGTACCCGAGAAGGGTTTCGTAGACTGCTCGACATACTTGGCCCTTCGAATGACAAGATTTTATAAGAACGCACCTTTGGCGAGGCCGGGCGACCGGCCACACATGACCAAGAGGCGACCGACGAGGTCTTGGGAGATGACCGAGTGAAACTTGGGGCCGCCCACAAGCTGGAGGAGCGGGCTGTTGTCAATGTCACCAACGTCGGCCACAATAGGACCGTCCCACTACGCACTTGTCAGTCTTACGAAGCGCGCGCCAATGGCTCGTACGCTCGGAAGCGACCGAAGACAGAGCAAGGTGCGCAAAACCATTGCGTCCGACTTGTCGACTTCGTCGTGGGATGCAAGAATGGTGACGGACCGCGCATTGAGAACCGCGACGCGGAGGAGCTCGGCTGGCACGAGGGCGTTGCCAGAGCGAAACACGACTGTGGTGCCATCGAGGTCGGACAGTGCAATGTGCGTGTGGAGCGCGTACTCGATGGGCTCGATTGGGCCGTCGACAAGGAAGACAATGACGCCGCCGCGTTTCACCCGACAAAGCTCCTTGACAAAGTTGATGGCTCGGTCGCTCCACCCAAGTACGAGCTACAAGAAGCTATCCGACATTGCGAACGAGATGAATGTGGTATGTACGGTGTGGTGAACTTCGAGCACTTTGGAGCGACCGGTCTTGAGGCCGTTCAACTTGGCGCGAATGTCGTCGACAATGACACCAATGACAACGTCGAGGAAGATAAACCCGCCGAGCGTGAGCAAGACACCCACGATGCGCTGCACCTACTCGTTGAACACCACGTCAGATGCAATTATCCAATGGGACGAACCGTGTCGACAGCAAATTGCTGGTTGGCGCGGTCGCTCAGGTACAGCCAGGACGCCCAGACGGCTTCCGAATAGGACAATTCGTGCGACAGCATGACCCACGGCGCGCAGATAAAGTTGAGCGCCAAGCCAAACACGACGAGCGAGGTCATTTGCCCGTGCTGTGTGCTGATCCACCGGTCAAATGTGTACACGAGCCGTTGCTGCAGCGTCCAGTCCACACCCCGCAGCGGTCGCTTTCGCTGTCGACGCATGCGCGAAGATGGCGCTGGAAGAAGCCGCTCGCTGGACGAATACAATGACGTGGCAAAGCGCAGGTCACATTTGGGCTGCACGAGGTGCCGTAGCACGTCAAAAACGGTGGCCACGCCGCGCCGACCGCGCGTCCCTGTATGGCTCTGTCGCGAGAGAGCGCCTGTCGTGCGGGAGAGCGCCAAATCAGCAAACAGATCCGAGTGCTTCATGACAGCAACGTCGTCATCATCTTCGTCGGGCACGCGACCTTTGCTCTTTCCGCTGCGGTGGATCGGGGGCAGCGTCCAACCCATGGTGGCAAGCGAAAGCGTGTAACCGCGAGGTGTCGTTTCATGAGATAGGTCGATGAGAAGGGAACACAGTCGTGATGAAACCGTGCCTCAAGGAACACAAGGCAGAAGCAAGATGAAAACGGCATATGCCGGAAATTCGTGCCTACCGGAAATTAGGTTGGAGGCCGGACGACCCTAGAAATAGGACCCTTAATCCGTAAAATTCGAAAGACTCATTTCAACAACAGTCGTGATGAAACCTAGCTACGACTCATTTGCTACTGCTCGTATGAAGTTTTGTTCTACGGCAATTCGTTTGGGGAACATTTGCTTGTCGATGCAGTTTTCGTCAAATGGCTGCCCGCAAGTGCGAAAGAACACGCATTTCCGCACTCCATCCTGGAGCCATGGGTACATAATTTACCCTTGCCTGGAGCTCAGACGACATTGAATCGATCGCGGCGCACTCGAGTGTTGTCTGGCGTTGCCCTCGTCGCACGGTCGATTGTTCACGAAGCAGTCACACAGCCAGGTCGGACTGGCGAAGCTTGATACAGACCTGATACAAAATGAACCCGCCAATCACAATCATCCGTTGTGCAGTAGACTGCCAGTTGGGCCTGTCGAGCGATCGCCATCCGTTCACTGATTAGACAAATACTTCAATATATACTTTTACGTCACGACAACATTGCTAGCACGGTGGTGCACGGTCAAGACGCCATCGGCCGCCAAAAGCGCGCTGGTCATTGATTTCCGGCGCTGGTGACGGCGGCGAAGCACCACTACAGCCGCCACAGCTGCAACGACGAGCACCGCGACGACCGCCAATATCCAGTACGGTGCGTTGTGATTCGTCTTTCGGAGCGGTGTCGTCGTCCCGCCGCTGCCCGTACCTTCGTCCTTGTAGCTCACGTCCGTGCTCGACGCTCCGGCAATGACCTTGTCGACTTGAATCGGCAGCAGAAGCATGCCGCAGTTGAGCACGTCGTCCATGGCGAGGTGCATAAAGCCGCGGAGACCCCAGTTGTTGCCGTACGAGTTTTTCAAGATCCAGTGCTCGGTGCCGTTGTCGGTGACGCCATACCCCGTCAGCACCAGTACGTGGTTGATGCTGCTCGTCGTAATGTTGGTCGTGCACACGTGCACGCCGCCATTGTAGTTTTTGAACGCTTCGGACGCGTAAATCGGCACCGAAATCGGACCGTCGAGGAGCGCCGTCTTAAGCAGCCGGACGGGGTCCGTCACGTTCTCAGCGCACGCCGACCCCGGCAGCGCCGAGCGCCAGCTCACGACCGTTGTCCCATTGGCTTTGGGCCGTTCCACCACGAACCCGTTGATAAGTTCGGCCGCGGGTTTGCAGCGCGGGGGCAAAGCCGCCTCGAGGTCTGTCGCGTTCTTGCTGGCATCGACAAAGGGCCAGTCGGTGTCCAGGGCGAGCGCCGTGTTGGTCCATGCCAAGTCGAGGAGCGCGCCGTACGTCGACCCGCCGTTGCAGCCGCCGTTGGCGCTGCTCCATTCAATCGAATGGGGCAGCCAGGACGGAAGACTGCCCATGCCCGCCATGCAGTACGACGTCGGGTACGTGTTGTTGCCGCGGCTGCAGTCGAGCAGCTGCTGCGGCGAGAGCGGCACAGGCGCCGCCCCTGTCGCTGCACTCACGGCGGCCTGGACGATCTCGACGGTCGCAAACGCCCAGCACCCGTTGCACGCGCCTTGGGCGCGCATGGGCCCGCAGATGCGTCGCTGCAGCGGGTTGTTGGTCGAACACCAGTTGAGCGAGACGGGCAAATGAAGCTCGGTTGCATTCGAGGACGATGACGTGGTGTTGCTAAGGGACCGGGATGTTGTCGAGATGCTGGTAAGATCGGGGATCGGTAGCTGCAACGCTATGGGCTCCGGGTTCTCGTGGCGCGCGATTGCGCGAGCGTATTTGGCTATTGACATTGCGTAGAGTCTTCGGTCTACGGGCCATAAACATAAGCGTACCTTGAAGGTGCTTGGCGTGGGCAACGAGGCTGGCTCTGGTCGCGGCCACGTCCCTTGGTGGGTCCGCCTCAAGGAGCTCGTCGATAAGCTGGTGGAGGCCTATGCTGGCGCCGTCGCGCCCCATCCAGCGGCAGCCGTCGCCGTCGTCGTTGCAGGCGACGAGTGAGCCATGGGCCGTTGGCGTCGTCATGTGCTGGCAACTTCCGGACTGGCGCCAGCAGGGATGCTTGTTACGCATGCGTAATCGAATCATCCAATCACAGGGCGTTTTATCCGGACTGTCTCGCAACGGCCTGCAGTGTGGGGCCATTTTGCTGTCGGAAGATTGCAATGGGATGACGAGTCGTGGTCTGGGCTACAGAAGTTAATCGTCGAGTTCTCCAGCGCATCGAGTAGGCGCCTCCGTGTATTTCTCATCATCAATCGGACGCGCCCAACAAATATATATTCGGCTTGCTTGGAGACCTGGTCCGTGTCAGTTGAGGAATGAATATATTAATCATTCACACGGCTTTGGCATTAGGAACGCGCTCGGTAGCGTGCGTCAACTTGTCACCCGTGATGAACAAGACCGCCCAACGTTGCCGTCGGGTGCATGGTTTTGTTGCCGACAGCACCTATCATTCGAGGTTGTGAAGTCTAAATCGAGTCATGGCTTGAGAGATTCGAGCTAACGTAACCGGTACCTGGTCGCCACAGTGTTATCGAACCAAGTCGTGCGAGCTCTTGTATCGGTTCTCGCTCCGGTAATCATCTCTAATCCAACGCCTTGAAGCGCAGGTCGTTGGAAGCGTATATAACCTCTTCGAGGTCTTGTTAATGAGTAGCGTCATTGTTGGGTGAGAGTTGTGCGTATACTCGATGCTGTTTCATGACAACTTGTAGACAAAACATAAATAGGACGTTTATTCGCAATCACAATAACTGAGATTCTCGGACGAATGCGAAACGACAAGCCGACGATGACGATGATGCGCGCTCGTCCTTGCAAGTACTTCGGATTGTTTCGACAAGCAAGTGAGAGTCATGCTGCGGTGAGTGGCACGCGGGCGGAGAAGAGTGCCTGGGCAGCGGCGCGTCGTCGTCGGCACTTAAGCACCATGACCGAGACGATCGCGAGCACGCCGACCGTGATGATACCGCACATGACCCAAAACACAGTGTTGTGCGCAAGGGGCACAGTCTTGTCGCTCGTCTCAAGAAGCGCCGGCGCCGTTGTGTTGGCCAACGAAACCGACATGTTTGGCCTATGAGCTGCCAGGAAATTCGAACAATGACAGCAAGAAAATCCTGGAGCGTCGACATGGATACCACTGTCTGTGTCTGCGATTTGGTTGGATAGAATCCGGGCAGAGTATTCACCAGCAAAGTGTCGCCAACAACCCACACATTCCGTGCATTCCAGTGCTTGTAGAGAAAGAGCGTAGACGCTTCGTCTCAAACGAGCACTGTGTACATTATTGACAATGGTCTGTGGACAGAGATCATCATTCACGCACGCACGACTTGTTTCGCAGCGCGCCTCGAACACCCAACGCGCATCGACTACCGAAATTTCACACAAATCACACAATTTCACAAAACCGACGTCAATTCGATGACAAAACATGTACAAGCGCAACGTAGTGCCATTACTCACGTTGTCGAGGCGCGTCCAAGATGGAATGACTGCACGTACGCCGCTGAGCTACGCCGCTGATGGCAACGAGTCCGAGCTGTCCGCATATATCCGGATAAGGATACTCAAGACCATCACTCTGCTGGATAGCTGTGCTGGATTGTGGCACATTCTTCAATTTCAATGCGACTCATTTGGATGACATTGGAGGCCGCAAGTATCAGCTGAGGGGAATACAGGGCAGGTGGTCTGCGCTGGAGCAAAGGCCAACAGGTTGCCCAGCGCTCCACGTACACGACAACTTGTACCCTTCAATACGAGTCCCTGGATGGAAGATCGCTCGCTGGCAGCCAGGTTATTTTCATTACGACACACAGCGCAAATACGATGTACAGTCGCGCTCATGTCGGCCACCGGTCAGCAGCGGTGCATGTTGGCCCGGCGCTTGAGCGCAATGCGCACACCCACAATCGTCGCGAGGAGCGTCCCGATAGCAAATGTCACCGCGATGCCGAGCCACGCCGCGAAGGTGAGCCCGCCAAAGTCGAGGTCGCCGCCGCCGTCGACGCGCAGGACCGACGCGCCCCGGGACGCGCCGAGGACGCGGATGGGAAAGATGTTGAGGCCGCAGTTGATGTCGTCGTCGGCCGCGAGGTGCATGAAGCCATTGACGCCCCACCCGGCGCCGTACGAGTTTTTCAGAATCCAGTACGGCTGGCCGCTGCTGTAGCCATACCCGACCAGAAGCAGTGCGTGGTCGATCATGTCCGAGTTGGTGATCTTGGGGCATCGGAACACACCGCCCTTGTACTCGGGGAAGAGGCCCTGGGCGTGCATCGCGACCGCCAACGGTCCGGTCGCAAGTGCGTCTTGCAAGAGCCGTGTCGGGTCGCTCGTGTTGGCACACGAATTTCCGCTGACCGCGGGCTCCCACCCCGTAATGTGGGCGGCGGAGCTATCGTCGGGCAGCTGCGCGCACGAGTATGGACTGCGGGATGACGACGACGCGTCATCGTCGGGCCACGTCAAGCGTGACGCGAGGTTCTTGATCTTGCTCACAGCGTCTGTCAGCGCGTTCTGCGTCATGCCGCCACCACACCCGTCGTTGGTCGCATTCCATTGCTTCATGGGTGACAGCCAAGTCGGTACGGTCTTGGACGAGGCAAAGCAGTAGTGAAACGTATGGACTTGGGGCCCTTTGCTGCAGCTCAAAAGCTGCTGCGTCGAGAGCGAGACGGGCGTCGCGTTGCCCGCGATTGCGACTGCCGTCTCGATGAGGTCCGTGGCAGCGAACGCCCAGCACGACCCGCACAGCTTCTGGCTCTTGATATCGCCGCAGACAGAGCGCCCAGTGGGATTCGACTCGCTGCACCAGTTGAGACTTGGCTGTAATGTGCTAGCTTGAAGGCGCCGCGGGCTGCGAAGGTAGTACTCGAGCACCATCTCGGCCGGGTCCTCGTCGATGGTTGCCGGCAGGAGCAAGTGGCGTGGGTTGACGCCGAGAGAAATGTCAAGCACTTGGCCCATCGCGCTCGCATGGCGCTGCACCTCTACAAACGCGCTTCTTGACAGCGCTTGATGGCAAGACACATCTACCTTGGATGTAACCCATGTGCGACTGCAGGTTGCGCGCCGCTGCCGCCGACGTGTCGTTGGCGAGCATGATCTCGGCCAGGCGCGCGCTGTCAACGACGTCGCCATTGTGGCCCGTCCAGAGGCAGGTGGTGTTGCAGCCGACGAGCGTACCCAAGGCGCTCGTCGTCATGGCGACAGGCGGCCGGCGGGTGGCGGAATGCGAGGCATCTGCACCTATTTTATCAGCTCTTGCAAGTGGGTGCGTTTCCAACGCATACATTGTCCAAGCTTTTTGTTGGCGCCGTCGATATATGTGTTTTCAGAGGTTCTCGAGTTTGCACTACAGATGACTGACGTGGCAAGCGGAACGAGCTGGTGGAGTTTGACTGACGTTAGATGAAAAAACTGTCACGTTGCTTGGTGTCTACAAGTACCAGAATTTGATAAGAATGTAAGATTCATGAGCACCAAGCGATAGCTTCCAGGCGCCTGTGGCAATGCTAACGTTATGAAGAGTATGTTGGAACACTGCACTTTCCAAAAAATGGTCGAGTCAAAAATGGTCCCAGTGAAGGCCGCTTGCTGCAACGAACGGACCTGAGAGGCTTTGGCGGCACTGCAATCATATCGCCCTTTTGCACCTGACCACACTGGCGTCTTGAAATAACGTCTTGTCGTATAGCCGTTGATGAAGTGCACATGCAAGTGCAGGATGAAGCGCACGACGGCATCGTTTGGACAGCGCCTTCCATTTGCCTTTCTTCGAGAACAGCCCCGTCGCCGTCGAATTGCTGACGTGGAGGTCCACCACCATACTTGTAAGAATGATACTGAACTCCGGCGTCAAATGATGCATCGAAATGCACTCCCTTTGAGACTTGGCGTGGCGATGGCGAAACGACTTGATCGGGACCAAAATAGGGCCGACGTGTGTGATAGTTGTGCGCATCGAGCCATTTCAAAGCAGTTGACTATGGTGCAGGAGCTCGAGCGCCTCGACGAAAATTCGCCTGGCGCCAAGATGGTCCGTGGCGACACCAAGGACGGCCTCCTCATCCGGTTGCTACACGCAACGACGGTGCCGACGAGCCGCTTCCCCAAGCAATCGACGCGCTCCGAGGGGCGGTTCCACGGTCCGTCCCGTCATTTGCGCAAATGGAGATAACGAAATGTTTTGTACTAGCGCTCATGCATGCCGGTGCAAAGTCGCACGGCTCGAGCGCGCGCAACAGCTCAATGAACCACGATGAGAAAGCTCACGTCATCCTCGGTGATCTCGATGCGATAGCCGCGCTGCAGTTTACGACCCTCGCCAAGAAGCTTCGCTGTAGGAAGAGAGTGCCACTGTGATTGGCATAAATTGCCTGCGAGTAGCCAACGTCCTCGATGCCAACGGTACGTTCAAGGCCCGCTGGAACGTCCTCATCTTCCTCGCGCTGCTCGTCTTGCTCGTATTGCTGCCGCTTGACGCAAGCTTCAGCCTTGTGACGACCCATGGCGCGTGCCTCGCACTGCAATTTACGATCGATATGCTCTTGTTGCTGGACGTCGTCGTGACGTTTCGCACGGCTCGCATTGAACCGACCTCGAACGCGTGGCTCGTCGATCCGACTGATATTGCTCGGGGGTATGCACTGAGCTTCGAATTCGTTGTCGATGCGCTCTCGTTCATACCGACCTCGTTGGCGCCGGAGCACGGATCGATGCATCTTTTGCGCCTCGTGTTTCTACTGCGCCTCTATTGGCTCTCGCAAACCGACGTGATTGGTCGCATCGAAGTGCGTCTCTCGCTCCTTGTTCACCCTGCGGCCGTGCGATTGGTGAAACTCGCACTCTTTTACATCACGCTTCACCACTACATTGCGGCCGCCTTCTATCTCGTCGTCGCGTACGAATACCACGTGCAGCCCCCCGTCCAAACTTGGCCACTCCCGTTCACGCTCAAGGACCCGATCTGGGACCGGTACGTAGCGTCGTACCACAAAGCTCTCTTAGTCACGGGTCTGGAACCCATGCTCGCCACAACCAACGTCGAGTGGGTCTTTACTTTTGGCGGCTACGCGATCGGTACGATTGTCAACGCTTGGTACGTTTTGAATTGAGTTTGAAGGCGCGAATGTTGATATTGGAATCTAGTGTCTTTGGCATCGTCGCGGGATTACTTCAGCAGTTGAACCGGGTATCCGACACGCGCCAGCATCACGCCGACTGCGTTGCCTCCATCTTGCGCGAAAAGGACGTCGACGACGACCTCCAAAAAGCCATTCAGGACTACTACGAGTCGTCGTCCCACAATGACCGGCTGTCACATTTGGATGCAGCGGCATTGATGAAGCCGGCGCTGCCAAGTAAAGTTGAGCTACAGCTTCGCCACCATTTACACCGTGACGCGGTGTCTAAAGTGGCGTTCTTGAAGATACTGACGGCGGAGGAAGTACTTGCTTTGCTCTTGACGATGACTGAGGCCGTCGTCCTCCCCGACGAGCTCATTGTACAAGCCGGCGAAAAGGTGCGTCGTTCTGTCGATTTGTAAGGAAGGCCATGGTGAATTAGGCCCACGCACTGTACATAATTGAAACCGGCCTCGTGCGCGTCTGCGATCCCCGTGGACGCTTGCTTACGACGATGGGGCCTGGCGCGTACTTTGGCGAAGTGAGCTTGATGACGAACGAGCCAACAACCGCCAGCGTCGTTGCCCAGACGTATTGCAAGCTTAATGTACTTCTCAAGGTCCATTTTGACGCCTTTACGCAAGTCAACGAAAAGTTGCGGGATTATTTGCAAGAGGTCCGGGTCAACCGGCTCGCAGCCTCCGCGACCGAAGTCCTCAAGGTTCGTCTCTCCTCAGTGAATTTGCTCTCGACGGTTGGGTGTTAGACGTGGTCGTGTCGCCGGGGTCCGCCGTCGGTGCTCGCGCAACGTGTGGCCAAGAAGTTGGTTCAGCGCCACCGCATGATGCCGCGTCTCCCAGTACACCGCAGGTCGTTCAAGAAGAACTCGCTCCAGCTCAGCCATCGCCTGCTCTCGAAAAAGGGTGAGCGGCGTCTCGCTACCGCACCACGGTCATCCCACAAGCTCCATGTGCACGTCAAGACGTTCTCGTACTTTCAAGCCCGCCGACTCGCGAGGCTCCAGCGCATCAGCTCGAGCGTCCTCGGCGACGAAGACGACCACCTCTACTCGTAACCTGTCTCCCTTCTAACCACCGTACTTTTTTGTTCACAACAGTGCGGACACGCAGGCGATATGAAGCCGACTACAGTACAACCCATCGTTCGTCTCGTGGCCACATTGTACGGAATGATGAGTTTGTCGAAGTGGTGCGAGGTCTAGTTCAGCATCGATGCCAAAGGACAGTACCTCTTGATATATGAATGAGTCCATGGCGAAGCGGTTGTGGTGGGCACAAACACAAAGGGTGCGCCGAATGAATCGCTTGGGTGGGGACACTCATACACCGACCGTCGTCTCGATTTGCATCTAGTATACCGTTACCGATATAAGTGGATGTTCTCCAACTCATTCGACCGCGTTGTCCAGCCGTCAGTTTCAGATCGGCACCGTCTAAGAAGAGGCGACCATGTCGGACCACGTGCCCACAGAGGGCATCCTACAGCGACTCCTCCATACTCAAGCCTGGCCGTCGAGTGTTGCCTCGTCTCGACTCTCATCGTCCATGACCCATCGCAACCTCCTTTTCGGTACGACGACCCCGAGAATGGTCCTCGCAACGTACGTCGGTGCGTAGCCCCGGTGCACTCGAGCGCATCCACGCAAAATGGGCGACGCAGCCACAACGTGGACGCCAGCTTCAAGGAGAAAACCAACTTGATTCTGAACGACCTCGACGCAATGGCCACGTCGCAGTTTTCCGATCTCGTCCTGCGGCATCGCGGTGCGCTTTCTGTCGCCCGCGGGATGATGTACAAATGTGCGATGTTCTAGCGCGCCTCTTGGACGCCAACGGACCCATCAAGACGCGCTGGGACGTGTTTGTTCTTCTCGTGCTGCTGCTATTTCTCGTTCTGCTGCCCCTAGACGTGTGCTTTGACATTGTGAAGATTTCGCCGTCGTGCTTGACGCTGCAGGCGATCGTCGACTTAACGCTGCTCCTCGACATGCTCGTGACGTTTCGCACGGCGCGGCGCGATGCCACCACGCAAGCGCTCCTCGTCGACGCCACCGAAGTCGCCAAGTCGTATCTGTTTAGCGGCAGCTTTGTTGTCGACGCGGTCTCGTCGATTCCATCCGGGTACTGGGTCACTGACTACGTCCATTTGAAACGCGCAGTACAAACCACGCGGATCCTCTTTGTCTTTCGACTCTACCGGCTATCGCAGGCCGACGTTGTGGGTCGCGTCGAGCGCCGCTTATCGCTGCTCATCCACCCGGTCTTTGTGCGCTTGGCTAAAGTGGTCCTGCTCTATATCGCGTTGCACCACTACCTCGGCAGTGTCTACTATCTCATCGTGTGCTACGAAGTCGGTGTCTACGAGAAGCACCTCGAGAAAATGTGGCCCATTCCCTTCGCGCTCACTGACCCGCTCTGGGTGCAGTACGTTGGCGCCTACTACCTAGTGTTTTCGCTCACGAGCGGGTCGTCGATCCTAGCGATCACCAAAGTCGAGCGCATCTTTAGCTTTGTCGGCTTTGCGATTGGCATGATTGTCAATGCGTGGTACGTCTATAGTGTACATTTTTGTCCTCTTTCTATAGACATTTAGTGTCTTTGGTATTGTCGCGGGGTTGAACGAACAGCTGCACACGTCGTCGGACGAGCGCCAGTACCACACGGCGACGGTCGCGTCGCTATTACGCGATCAGAACGTCGATGAGGATGTCCAGCAGGCGATTTACGACTACTACAACTCGACGTCGGGCGGGGAGCTCTTGGCGCACGATACCAACAAGATCTTTACGCCGGCGTTGCCCAGCAAAGTCGAGCTTCTTCTGCGCCACCACCTTCACCGCGGCGTGGTCAGAAAAGTACCCTTCTTTAGCACGCTCAATTCCGAGCAAGTCATGGCGCTGCTACTCATGATGACTGAGAGCATTGCGGTTCCCGAGGAGGTGATCGTCAAAGCCGGCGAAAAGGTGCGTATTTCTCTTTCCGAGAGCCGAATGTCACGGTAGACGTGGCTAGGCCCACGCGTTTTACATTATTGAAACGGGCCTTGTTCGCGTGCTCGATGCCCGAGGAAGCGTGCTCGCGACACTTGGGCCGGGCGGGTACTTCGGTGAAGTGAGTTTGATGACGAACGAGCCAACGACGGCCCATTGCATTGCGCAAACGTACTGCAAGCTCAACTTGTTGCTCAAAGTGCACTTTGATGCGTTCACGCAAGCCAACGAAGGTCTCAAGTCGTACCTCAACGAGACCAAAACCAAGCGGCTGCAAATATCGGCCAGTGCCGCCAAGCAGGTACGCGTTCTCCATCATCGAAACGGGGCTTATGCTACATAGCCGATGCTGCTGCTTCGAACGCTCGTGCACCCGAAGCCTACGCTCGTGGGACACCTCTTTGCACGGCAGCTGGCGAAACGCTTGGCGCGCCGCCAGCGCCAAATCATGCGCCTCCTCTCCGCGCACCGCGAGTCTGTGCGCCGCGAGTCGGTCAAGGGATCCGGCACGCGCGCGAGCCAAGTGTCGCGACGTAGTCAAGGGAAGCCGACGACCTTGGTCTCGGCGGGTGCGCTGCAAATGCACCTGCGCGCTCTCTCGCACTCACGCGCGCGCTCCCTCGTGCGGCTCCAACGCATTTCACGAAGTGCGATCGAGGCCGATTGAGACAGTACAACATGTTTATTATGCCGTCGTAGATATTACGTACACTCGTCGTTTTTAATCCCTGGCATTCTGTACAGGTATCAT